TTGAGCTATATGATCCACTTAACAACGTGTGATAATTGTAGGACGACATGCAGCATTTCATAGCTTTAAAGCCATATAATACCTACTGTTTCATTTGTGTGTTTCCATCAGCCCATGGTTTGTCCAGAGCAGGCATTGTGTCCATTTGTAGATGGAGATACTTTAGCAGGAAGGAAGCCAGGTGCTCTGGTTCTCTCCAAATAATGGTGGATTTGGGCTGCAAATCTAGGTCCTCGGCCTTAGGACTTTTCCATCATGATTTCCCTCACTTTCTATGCCTATCCTTGACAAAAAAAGTAAAGTAGCCTAAAGCAGACCTGGATGTCCATGAATATCCTTTGGTTGGCTTTCATGAGGCAATGAGATTGCAGGGACGTGATGTGTACTAAACAAGAGTAAATTCATTTATGTGGCCATTGGAAGGAAAACCAAGGAAAAAACTCCTTGAATTCATTACACTTAGATGTTGAAGTTTTCTTGGAAGTCACCTCTGAAATAGCTACTTTTTTGGACCAGTGACTTGCCTAATCGGCCTTTGAAGAAAATTAAAATCAAATATGTTCATTGTCGTCATATTAGGACAGATCCCCATGATATATTGCCATTCTGAAGCATCTAAGTAAGGTGACAATAAAGACGTAATTACCTGGACACTTGTCATAACCAAACTGGCCAAGCTTTTACCTGATACCACGTGGATGAGGTTAAACACAGCTGCCAGGGGTTCAGTCCACTCCTCCACAAAGCTGAAGAAGAGTCGATCAATGTGGAATGGCATCCAACAAACGGCAAACACTAAGACCAGGACAACTGGCAAAGGATGGAAAACAGGAGAGAATAGGCAGTGTCGGCAAGGGTAAGAATGTAATGCTCATCCTGAGCCTTCTGTTCCTTCTAGGAGTTTTTCCCTCCCCATTAGTTAAGCTGGATATGTTATGGGTAACCAAGATCCCACGAGCCTCCATATAGTATATTCAAATCTAAGAATTAAATGCAGTAGGATCTATGAGCATTTTTCTATTTGATTGTGCAAGACTCCTAATATAATATTTTCCTTTAGAGCATTTAAAATAGTACTGAATTTATTTTAAAGTTCTCTACACAGTTTACTGTGAAAGTAAATTATGCTGTGACTAGACTGTTGGAGCCACATAAACTGGGTATCTAAATAAATGATTGGGACCAAGCAGTGGATGATCTTTAAAGTCATTGATTAATAACGTACTGCTGTTTATATGTATGAATTCATCTTGTTACTGTAGAAATAATTAGAAATTTTGATCATTTAAAATTCTGCAGTGGGTGGGGAAGGAGAGAGGAAGATTGTGTAACCACAATCATAATATTGCCTTAAAGTATCTTTTGATCAGGAGGGGATGTGTTTTTTTTGTTGTTTTTTTTTGGGGGGGGTTATAAAAGCCCTTTTATAAAGCCATTTTTAAACAAAACAGAAAAAAGTTTACAAAAGAAAAAAAAGATGCAGAAAAAGAATAACTTGCTTCGAATGTCCCCAAAGAGAAAAATAAAGGGGACAGTGCCAACATGCTCAACGATAAAGGGGTTCTTTTTCTTTTTTTTTTTAATACAAAATACAAGCAAAGGATACACATACTTATAACAAAGCTCAGGAGCAGACATGCAGTCCTGGAAACCTTCAACAAAAGTAATGCAGGAGTTTGTTTTTTCTTTGTCTATGCAGATACATACAGAAACTGGGATATGTAAAAATTAAGTATCACAAAAGACCACCACACAATTCTACCAATGCAGGTTGCATCTATAATTCACAAAAATGGTCAACAAAATCATGTTCACTTCAACCCTATTTCACTTAAATTAAAGAAAAACTTTTTAAATAAAGTGGTTACATTCAAACTTTAACTTCCTTAGTACCATGCTGCAGATTCCAGCACTGTTAAGGTATTGCAAGAATGCCCAACCCTCTGGTGTCTGATCATGTATCCAGCGACATTGTAATGTAAGGAAAGGGATGCCCCTTCTCGGCTATGGACT